TTCCTGTTATCATGGTCCCTCAAGAACCACTGGATGCAGTCCTGGTGCCCCCAGAACAGCTAGGGAAGCCAAGGGGTCTCCAGCACCGCAGGTCCAAGTAGCATCCCATCAGGGGTCCTTCACTGAACTACAGACACGATTGGCTGAGAGTCACCGGTGGGGCCCTCAGTTTCCTGAATACCATTTGGAAACACACACACACACACACACACACACACACATTAAAATAAAATAAACTGCTGGACAAACAGTGAGGTTGGTGCTAGGAGAGAAACTGGTGTTTCTGAACCATGGACCCTGGGGGGCTGCCCTGTGGAAGCATCCATGGAGCAGGGGGCTGAGGCAGCAGCCTTTCTCCCAACAGATGCTTGTCAGAAAGTGACCGCCATCCCAGGCACAGTGTGGCCAGGACACACGGGGCTCTGAGCAAGATTGAGGTGTTTCTCTGTTCTAGAAGCCCACCTGGACAAAAAGACATCGCTGAAAGGCTATTCCTGGACCTCTCCCTGAGCCCCTGGGCAGCTATCAGGGTATTCTCTCCAACCCCTGAGCTGACCACTGGGCTGGCAGGAAGAGCAGGCAGAGGAGATGGATGGTCCACTCCAACACAGGAACATGTCCCAGGGAACCCCCTAGAGGGATGTGGGCAAACTCTGACCCTGTTGGTCTGACCTGGTATAACAAGAGTTCAAAAATATATGGATCCAGGGGTATGGTGCTACCTGCAGGTCAATCTGTACCTGTGAGGTGAGTGCATCAACCGCCTGGTGGCACCGTCAGGCCTTCAGATACCCCAAAATTGCTGCTGTGCCTTTGGCCAGACCCCAAAAACTTGGGGCAAAGTTTACCAAGAAAGGAAATGGCCAAAAGTTAGGTATGTGGGAGAAACACCCACAAACCACCTCCGGCTCAGCTATATAATTGGAGGCATGGCCTCTCTGGTTCCTGATCAAACTGCTTAACAGCCATGATCCCAGAGGCTCAGAAACAAATCTCGGAACCCAAAAGCTTTTGGCAGAAACGCGTCCTATTCCTGCAGTAGGTTACTGGGGCTGGGCAACTCCAGGTGGGAATAGGTTTTGTGCCTTGGACTGTTCCCCTTGGCGGCCTGGTGACCATCATCCTCCAGAGGCCACAGGACAGTCAGGTTTGGGCCTGCAGTGACGAGACACACGGGGCCTCACGGGATGGGGGTGGAACAGGCCCTTTCCTCCCCATCCCAGCGAGACCTCGAGTAGCCTCCTACAAACAGCCTCTCTGGCTCCTGATCAAGCTGATTAATGGCCATGATCCCAGAGACTCAGAAACAAATCTCTAAACCCAGGGGCTTTTGACAGAAATGCATCTGGACCGCATACATGGCCATGGCTCCAGAGGCAAAAGGACTTCATCCAGAGCTCGACAGCTTGCGGCAGAAAAGTGAATGAACCATGTGTTAAACTACGGCGCCATGCCTCCCCGGGAGGGAAAGGGTGTTGCTCCCTTCCACCTATTTCCCCCCTGGCAGCAAGGTGGCCGCCTCCTTAGAGCTTATTGGAAAGCCAGGTATGAGCCAGTGGTGACGGGGAAACTGCAGTCTCATGGGAAGGGGTGCGGTACCGGCTTGTCCTTTACACCCTACCGAGGTCATGAGTTGCCCCCCACCAGCGTCTCTTCAGCATGGCCATGACTCCAGAGGCAAAAGGACTTAATCCAGAGCTCAGCAGCTTGCAGCAGAAAAGTGAATGGACCATGCGTTAAACTACGGTGCCATGCCTCCCTGGGAGGGAAAGGGTGTTGCTCCCTTCTGCCTTTCTCACCCCCCCACCCCGGCAGCAAAGTGGCCGCCACCTCAGAGCTTATAGGAAAGTCAGGTATGAGCCGGCGGTGACGGGGCAACTGCAGTCTCATGGGAAGGAGGGCGGTACCAGCTCGTCCTTCATGCCCTACCGAGGTTCTGAGTTGTCCCCCACGAGCAGCTCTCCAGCACAGCCATAACACCAGACACACAGAAACCAATCTCATAATTATCTGGCTCTTTGAAGAAATACAAAATCATTATATGATTCTCATAACCAGCTATAGAAAACAAAGTATTTCACAGTGCCTTTTCAGCAATTCTGATTGTTGGGGGGGAAATTCTAAACAATAATCAATAATGGCGCATATTTTGTCGAAATGATGAATGTAATCAATGTAGAGAAGAGTTAAGTAGAAATCATCTGCCTCACAGGCACTGAGTGGTGTGGGAGGGGGGTATATATTGGGGTTAATAAATAAAACTATGAAAAAAAAAAGTAAAGTGGAGTTCATGCCCAATTCAATCAGCTAATCAGTGGCTGAATAAATAGCAGTACTCCTACATAAAAAAAAAATGTTTCCTAGGCCCCAGGGTGGGGGTGCCCAGAGAGCTAGATTTCACCAATCTGGGAGCCTTTGTGATTCTCTGGGCACTTCTGATGGGCAGAAGCTTGGGTTGAGAGCTGTCACTCTGAAATAAACCAACAGCATGAAGAGGGTCAGACAAGGACACCAAGACCTTCAGACTAAGGGACACTAAGTCTAAGGGACACCTGGGGACCTCACAAGCTCCATCCCCTGAGACTTCCTGAGTCTGAGACATTCCAGGTACACCAGGTTTGAATGTAAAGTCACGAGTGTCCACTTCTAGCTTCAGTTTTACTCAAGGCCTTCTAGGTGTGGGTCACAGAGTGTCCGTACATGGACAGGCACACACAAGTGAGAGACGTGTATGGTGGTGTCTATATGTGCACTGCAGAGACGGGTGAGGAAAAGCCCTTTCCCCACTGCACATATGCAAAGCATGCACTCTAGCCCTCCAAGCTATCATCCAGGCCCAGTTTCTTCTTAACACATTCGAAGGCTTACAGCAATGCCATGAGGAAGGCTGGATGATGAATATGGTTAATATTTTTATGTTTTAGGAAATTGGTGTTGAGGGGGTTGTTGGGCCACACCAGCTGTGCTCAGGGCTTGCTCCTGACTTTGTTTAGGGATCACTCCCAATGGTGCTCAGGGAACCATCCCAGTTGGTGCTGGAAATCAAATCGGGGTTGGCTGTGTGCAAGGCAAGTACCCTACTAGCTGAATTATCGCTCCTGCCCCTGGTTCAAATGAGGAAAACTGAGAAGTTACCGGATATGAACACACACACACACAAACACACACGGAAGAGGCATCTTACAGACCTGAGAACCTTATTACATATGTACCCTGGGAGCTCTTCACTTGACATGTGAGGCCTAAGTAGAGTCATGATAGGCTCCACTTTAAGACCAAAACTCAGCAGCCCTGGGGCTGGAGCAATAGCACAGCAGGTAGGGCGTTTGCCTTGCACGCAGCCGACCTAGGTGCGATTCCCAACATCCCATATGGTCCCCAAGCACTGCCAGGAGTAATTACTGAGTGCATGAACCAGGAGTAACTCCTGTGCATCACCAGGTGTGACCCAAAAAGCAAAAAAAAAAAAAAAAAAAAAAAAAAAAAAAAAAAAAAAACTCAGCAGGCCTAAGTCTCAGTTTCCCCCATCAGAAAGTCCTGACTTCTCAGAAAGCAATATCACCCTGGGCTGATAAACCGCTCTGTGACAGCAGCCTATCAGAGTAGGGGACATGGGCAGTGGCACCTAGCCAAGTAGAAAGGGCCAAGGCAGTGGAGTCATGGGACCAAACAGGGACCAAGAATTGGGAAACATAATGTTGGTACCTGAAGTCATGGGACCGGACAGGAACCAGAATTGGAAACATATTGCCAGTTCCTAGAAAAAATGCTGTTATGTAACCAAACCCTGTATAAATTGCTTAGAATTTGGAGTCGGGGTCCTTGTCAAGACTCCACTGTGTTGGATAAGATGTGGACCCTAGCTCAAGCTAGCAATAAAGGGGCCTTGCATTTGCATCTGAGCATCTGGTCTGGTCAATGTGCGAGTGAAACTTCCTTCCCAGGAAATAACAGACACACCAAGCTGAGAACATCCCCTCAAGTCCCAAGACTCCATGGACATCTGGGCTGGGCTAAAGCAGATTCCTCTGGCACATTCTGGCTCATGGGCGGACTTCCCTTTCTCCAGGCAGCCCACCATGCATATATTTTTCCAGTGTTCCAGCGAAACATCTTCTCCCATACTAATCTCAATGTAGTACTGACCCAAGACTGCCGCGCCGCTCTCCTGGACCCTAGAGCCTGAGTTCTCTGCACTCTGTACTCTGCAGACCAGTCACCTGGAGATCTCATGGGAACACCAATCCCTCACACCACCCAAACCAAGGAATCTGACTCTGCTGGGCCTGTTCATCTGTGGGTGCTGTAAATACTTCAGCTGTTGGGGAGGAGATCACTGACTGCCCCTGCTTGGGACCCTGAGTGCTGGAAACATCAGAATGACAGAGATGTAAGTTTTGCTTTCTTCTCTGGGGCCCCCAGCACCACACACAGGGCCTAGTTAACAGGGCATGTACTTCATGAATTGTTGGCTAAAGAAGGAAGAAAGAAAGAGAAAAGAGAGGGAGAGAGGGAAAGAGAAAGGGAAGGAGAGAGGAGAGAAAGTGAGAGGGAGAGAGAGAAAAGATAGAGAGAGGGGGGAGGGAGGGAGAGAGAGGGGAAGGGAGAGAGGGAGAGAGAGGGAAAAGAGGAGAGAGAGAGGGAGAGAGAGGAGAGAAAGGGAGAGGGAGAGGAAGAAAGAGAGGGGAAGAGGGAGAGGGATAGGGAGAGAGAGGGAGATGAAAGAGAGAGAGAGGACAGAGAGAGGAAGAGGAGAGAGAGAGAAGTATTTGCCATAGATGCAGGTTAGGTGTGGGGGACAAGAGGTAAGCTGGGGACATAGATGGCAGGAAATATGTATTGGTGAAGGGTTGGGAGTCAGCACATTATACCATTGAAACCCAATCACGAACAACTCTGTAGCTGTGTGATCTCATGGTGAGTCAATAAATAAATAAACAAATAAATAAGTAGAGCTCCCTCTTAGGCCAGACACCTACAGCGGCTACATTCAGACTTACCTAACAGAAGTCTGCTCTTATCTTTGCATTCTGGTGTATTCCAAGGGTTGTTGCACGAGCCCCAGGGCAGTACAGACACAAAGGAGGCAAACAGGTAAAAGAGGGTGTAGCAAATAATCACGTTGTAGTAGATGGCTATCAGGACGGAGATGATCAGCATGGCGATACCACAGCCTGTGGAAGCGAGATGCCCAAGGTTCATTCCACCCCCAACACAAGGGAACCCTCGCGGCTGGGTATGGGGCTAGGGCCTAGGCTGGGCTCTGTTTCACAGAGGGAGGCACCCTCTCTACTTCACCCCCACCACTGAGAATTGAACTCTGCCCTGGAGACACAAGACCTCCTAAAGCGAGACAGAGACAGGAGCCTGGGCCCTTGCTCAGAGCCCCCTCGAGGTGGATGGACCAAACAGATGGAAGGTATGCTATGGACTCCGAAACAGATCCCCCACCCCAAGATGCAATCATTAGAGAGGGCCAGGAGGCTGCTCAACTCACCCTGCAGGGCCGGGATGGCCTTCCACACGGACACTGGCCCCTGGCTGGCAAACTGACCCAGCGAGACCTCGAGGAAGAAGATGGGCAGCCCAGCCAGAGCCAGCATCATCAGGTAGGGGATGAGGAAGGCACCTTGGAAGAGAGAGCAGAAAGTGAGACCCCCAGGAGGCCTGGACTAGGGCAGGGCTTGGCCCATCTTCGCCCTCTGCATCACCAGCCTCTGTCTGAGTCTCCCTCAGCTTCTGCTATCCCTGTTCGCCAGGCACCAAGACCCTGCAATCCCTACTCTTCAAAGTGCCAGGGGACCCTGCCCCCCTTCGTTTTTTAACAGCTCCCCACTGAACAGGTCACTGTGGGGATCGTGAGCTGGGCAGGTTTTATTCTTTGCAATGCCTCCCCAGTAAGCCCTTCCAGAGCTCCTCAAACCCATGCCTTTGACTCAAGATTGAAGTCAGATTTGGTGAAATAGACGCATGAGTCTGTGAGGGCCTCATCCCAGCTCAGTTAGGCCTCAGGAGCCCTCCCCTACCAAAGCCAATTACCCAGACACCCTCCGCCAGCCACGGGGGCCACCACACCCACCTTCTCCCACCGCTGCAGATGTCTTGCACTTTTCAACTTCCTCCACCTCAGAAACTCTCCTTCGTTCAAGGTCAAGTGAGAGGCTTCCTCCTCCACAAGAACCTCTTCTCGGCTCTCCCACAGTCCTGCCCATCCCATCCCTCCCACCCCTCCCAGCCAGGCACCAAGCGCTTAACACCTTTGTTTATTAGGGTGTTCCTTCCTAGATTTGTGAGGCCCTGTGTGAGCCCTTCATTCACTTATTCCCCAGAATCCCCAAGCTAGAGCATTCCTAGCTGGGAGGCCTCCACACATGTGGGGAGCAAGCACCCTGTGCTCTGGGGTTCTTGTTCTTTTATTTTTCTCTATGGGTCACACCTGGCGATTTACAGGGGTTACTCCTGGCTCATGCACTCAGGAATTACTCCTGGCGGTGCTTGGGGGACCATATGGGATGCTGGGAATCGAACCCGGGTCAGCAGTGTGCAAGGCAAATGCCCTATCTGCTGTGCTATCGCTCCAGCCCCTGGGAGTTCTTGTTCTTGAAGGATTCTTTCAAGTTGTTTGGGAGGAGCCCCAGGAATAACCCCCAAAGACTTAGGATATGAACAGGTGTAGCCCGTTCAGAGCCAATCCCAGTCCCGGGGGGCTAGAGACTCGGGACCCCGGGCTCCAAGGAAGGAAAGTGGGTCTTTCTCTAGTCCACTCTCTTTACTGCCCTTCCCCCAACTTTGTATGCCATGGAAATGTCATTTCTGCTGGGCTTTCTCTAAACCGGACAGTGCTAAGGAAGAAAGCCAGGTTCCGTTCGGACTCTCCTGACTGGGTCTCAGAAAGAGAAGCACATTGTATAATCATCCCTTCTGCTCCAGGCAAGGAGATGGTGGGGGGAGCCCCCCCCCCCCCCCAGAGCCTCAGGATCTGCTCTGGGAACGCAGTGCGCAGTGCAGGAGGAACAGGCAGCCTCCCTGTCCCCTGCGCACATCTATCTCTGCTCAGAGCCCACAAAGGGCAAGCTGAGTCCTTTGTGGATCCCCACCCAGCAAATCCCAGGCCCTCTGGCCCTCCACACCTGGAGCTCCCTCCCCAATCACAATTTAGGTCCCTGCCCCCTGTGCCGCTGGAGTGAGCCCACCCCACCCCATGTCCAGTGCCCCCCACCACCACCCTTGCCCCCATCCCCACGTCCGGAACCCCTGCTGAGAACCCAGCAGAGGCCCAGCTGAGGGGTGGAGGTCTGGAGACGCCCAGACTGCAAGTACTCTGCAGTCAAGTACTGGTTCAGGGTGTCCTAATTTGGAATTAGGGGGTGTCACATATTGTTTTAGCTTAAATTTCTCCTACTAGATAGATCCAGTGCAGCATTCATCTGTCCCTTGGACCCCAAATCCCACCTGGAGCAGAGCCAATGGACAAGGCAGAAGGAAAACTGCAGGTTGCCTAACTGACTGGAGTGAGAGGCGCAGCTGGGTCCCTGGTCCCACTGAGAAGGGGGCATGCAAATCCCTGTTCCTAGAGGGCAGCCTCACAGCCATTGTGGAGGCCAGTGTCCCACACTCAACCAAAGGGGACCCTGAATGTTCAGGGTTCTTCTTGGGGGGGCCCAGAAGAGGTACGATGAAGTCTCAGGGCCAGTGGGCTGATGTTTGTATGCAGGCTAATGGACTCTGCATTTCCAAACAAGGTTCATCTGGAAGATACTTCTTCCAAAAGTCAGTGCAGTTGGAAAGAGCCCTGGTTTTGCTGCAGTCATACTGAGTGCTCTGCCTGTGCCAGTGTGTGTGAGTGGGGACATGTGAGAGGCTCTGATGATATCAGTCCTCCCCCTCTGCTTTCTCCCTGCACTCTGCCATCCGGTGCCCATTCCAAGTTCTCCTACAGAGATTTTTACATGATAAAATCTTTAAACATTCATAATTAGATGTGCAACCCGCAAAAAAAAAAAAGGGTTCTAAAGTGATCTGCACCATGCCCCTGACCTGTATAGGTGCCCGCTACCTTAGAACCTGAATCATCTGCATCAATGCCCCCTTGGCACACAACCCCCCTTGTTTCCCCAGTTGGGCCATGGGGGTGGGGTGAGCACTACCTCCAGGTACTGTCTCCTGGGTCGTGCCCTCCCACCGGACTCTGCAGCACCCATGCCCTGATGGAGCTGGAGGGTGAGCCTCCCATTCCCCCCCAAAACTAGGAGCCCTGGGTTCCCCCAACCCCTGAGAGCCCACCCCGCTGTGCCCGCTGGCGGAAAGAGCGGAAAAGCCATACCTCCCCCGTTCTGGAAGGCCAGGTAGGGAAACCTCCAGACATTGCCCAGCCCCACTGCGTACCCCACCATGGACAGGATGAAGTCCAGTTTGCTGGACCAGTTCCCTCGGGCCTTATTCTCATCCCCTTGCTCGTCCTCCTGGGGGCGGAAAAGCACATGGTTGGATAACAGCCCCGGGGAGGTCCGCAAGCAGGTCCCACTCCACCCCTCCCCCCCACCGAGGGTCCCTTCCAGCAAGCAGGCCCCCCACTTTCCAACGGAGGATGCATCGGCAAGCAAGACCCCAATTCCGAAGAGAGGATGCATCGACAAGCAGGGCCCTCGGCCCTCAACCCTCCACTGAGTGTTTGAGCAGGCAATCTCCCAGTGCTGATCAGAAGCTCCATCTTCACCCACCCTCTGAGCCCCTCCTTCCGAATCCTGCAGTCAGGCCACGGCAGCAAGCAGCTTCCCCCCACCTGGAACCTGGAGGCCCGTTGCAAGCAGATCCTTCCACCCCCAAGCCCTGACCAGAGTACATTTGGCAAGCAGGCTCCAATATCATGCCTAGAGACCCCAGCAAGCAGCCCCCCTCCCCCACCTAATAAAACCTTCCATGGACTCCCTCCCCAGTCTTTTTTGTTTTGTTTTGTTCTGTTTTGTTTTCCTTTGGAGATTGTCCAGAGTCTAGAAAGAGAAGCTGCAATGCCCGGAACCAGTCAGTTCTCCTGACTCCGGCTCCCTGCAAAGCCTGTCCACAGAGGCTGCCTGGGGTGGGGGTGGGGGGTAGTAATTTCAGTAGGGTGCCTTTCTGAAGGGGCAAGGAAAGTGGGCAGAGGAGAATGTGGGAGGCAGACACAAGAAAAAGGATGGAAAAAGTAGATAAGGTAAGGTATAGAGCATCTGAGACTCTGAGGACAGTAGTTCTTTCGCACTAACTAGTCAGGGAGGCCCAGGAAAGCCTCGCGTGTCTGGGCGTCTGTGACCCCGTCTGTAAAATGACGGGGTCTTCTGAGGCTCCCTCCAGCTCCAGCCATCAGTGAACCTTTGGGGTTCCCTTCTCTAAGCTGACTGAGGAACTTTCAGGGTTATGGGGGAGGAGTGTGGATCTGAGGGTCAAGACACCATTAATAAACTCTGCAAATATTTAGGATACCTGGACACAAAGCCAGCAGGGAGCAAATCTTGCACCCCTTCCATCAACGTGGTGTGTCTCCCGACTAAAAGGGCCTGAGGGATGAGGTGTCAGACATCCATCCCGGTGTGGAGGAAGCCGTGGGCAGAAAGGCGGGCTAAGGGAGCCATCAGAACAGCTGAGCTCAGACAGCCAGGTGGGACTGGAAACAGGCTGAGGCTCGGCCCCATTCTATGCTGACCATCTCTCAAATCTTCCTTCAGATCCTCCTCCCCCGGCTCCCCATCCCACTCTGTTCTTCCCGGCTGGAAAGGGTGGGAGTTCCAGGCCCATTTGCCGCAGTGCAGTGTGGAGGTTAAGCCAGAAAATGGGGAGAGAAAGATTCTGCTGCCGCCACCGCCACCTGGGGCCTGGCAGTCAAGCACATGCTGTCAGCAGAGGGAGGACACACAGCCCAAAGCTCTGGAAGTGGACCCCCAAAGTGGAGGGTGGGGTAGGAGTGGGAGGTCAATATTTCAGTTCCTTTCTGATGACCCCAATAACTGAGCACCTGAGGTATGGGCCTGTGGATAGGAGAGTGTGAAATATAAAATAACCAAGAGCAGAAGGGCTGCATAAAATTGGAAATCTCACACTGGCAAACGTCCAGGTTAGGTCTGATGCCCACAGCTAGACAGGGGTCCAGCCTTTGGGCCCAGCAGCAGAGAGGAGGGAAGGAATGGGGAGAGAGGTGACAGGAGTGAAGCATTGGAGAGAGACAAAAAGGGGAAAAAAAAACAGGAGAGAAGAGCATAGAAAGGCAAGGGGGGCAAGATTGGACAGGTGGAGGATGGGGACTTGATCAAGGCCCGTGTGGGAGAGGATGCTGCTAGCAGTATGTCCTAAACTGCAATTTTGTCTTTAGGATCCAGTCCTAAACCAGGACTGCAATTTGTTCTGGGCTTTCACGCCACTGGTCCTGTGAAGGATTCCATGCAAGAGGGGTTCCGATGCAAGAGGGGATGCGAGGCAGAAACAAATGAGAAAGGGGCTCCTTAAGAAACAACCAAAAATAAAAGACGATATTCTGATAAAATTGAGCACCAAATGTTGGGAGTGTGGGTGAAAAACAAACAAATAAAAGAAAACCAAGCCCTGGAACTTGAGTTTTTAAGCTTTAACGTCAGTAAATCTCATTCAAAGAGTTCCCCTGAGAAGAAAGGTAACTCTAAGTGTAAAGACTCCTCAGATGCAAATTCTGGTGCGCCCCGGGTCTTTCCCGTCTTTCGCGGGCCCTTTCTTTTGTTACTTCAGGACAATTTTCAATAAGAAAAGACTGTGGCCAGAGTCGAGCTAGGTGAGCGTGAAGAGGGCCAGTCTCTGCCGGCCTCCGCTTCTTAGAGTAATCGCCCACAGCTAGTTTGGGCTACCGCTGAGGCTGGGAGGGGGGGCAGGCAGAGACACTCCGGGGGTCGCGATCCCTCAGGCTGGACCCGGAATTGCTGACCCCAGCGCAGTGCGAGCGTCCGAAGCCCCCAAAGCTGCCTCCCGCATCCATCCCTTGGCACTGCCAACCGATCTCCCCCGTCAGCACACGTGCACCCGCCGCGGCCCGGCTCGCCTGGCACGGCTCGGGGAGCTGGAGGCGGCGCGGGCCGCGCGCAACCAGCTTACCTGGGAGGCCGCGGTGGCCGCGCTGCCCGGGAGCACCGACGTGATTCCATCCGTGCCCAGCACCACGGTGCTCTGGCTCATATTCACCCAGCCCACGGCCCGGGTGTTATTCCGCTCCAGGGTCCCCTTGCCCACACTCACGTTCGCATCTCCATCGGGGCCGCGCAGGGCCGGGATCTTACAAGGCAGCGCGTTGCCCGGGCCCGCCACCCCGGCGGCGGGCGGAGCGCCCTGAGCTCCGTGCGCCTCGCTCCAGTCCCGCAGAGCCGCCGACGCGGCCGGCGCCCGGGCGCTGTCGAATTTGCAAGCGCCCACTCCGGGCCGCTCGGCCTCGCAGGCTCGGGGGTCCGGGATCTGGAAAGTTTGGGCGCCGGTGGACGCGGACCTTGGCACGCGAGGCGGCGGCGGCGGCGGCGCGGCGGCGGTGGCGGGCAGCTCCTGCTCTGGGCTGGTCCTGGGCGCGCACGGGCCCTCGTGGTGGCCGGGCACCGCCGCTGCTGCCGCCTCCAGACTGCAGGCCGGGGGGTTATTCATGGCCGGGGAAGCACCGCAGTCCTGCAAACACAACGTGAAGTTCGCGGGGAAAGAAGAAAAGTCACGGCAGCTTCACCAACCCAAACACCTGCATCGACACGGAGAGGCAACTCGGGCGCAGGCACGGTGTCTACGAAGGGAACGAATGGAAATCTAGGTTTCTTTATTTCCCCTCTCCGAGAAAAACTGTCATCGGCCTTTTGTCAGTTGCCCGGTTTCCTCAGTAACCAAATGTCATAGATGCTATTGTAGCCCTCCCTGATGGTAAAACGAAGGAGAGTGGGGAGGAGAGAGGGTTTTTTTTTCCTGGAGGGGGCAGGTGGAAATGGGCCTACAGCCATGGGCTTCCCCACCCTCTTTGGATTTCATATCACAGCTGTAGGGCACCCATGTTCCCATCATGACTGTAGAAAGATTCTTTAATTTTCCGCCCCATTTCCTTTGTCATTCAGCAATGCTCATTGCTCGTTTTCTCTCCTTCCTTCCTTCCTTCCTTCCTTCCTTCCTTCCTTCCTTCCTTCCTTCCTTCCTTCCTTCCCCTGATAGACAACCTGCACTTACCCTGGCACCTTTGATCCTTTGACACCAAATTCTTTTGCAAATCCCAGTGCTCCAAAAGTCCACCCCCCTGCCCTTCCAGGTAGTGAAGACATGACCAAAATAATAAGAACTCTGCAATGGCAGTAATAATCAAGGTTTGAAACACAAGTCGTAACAGGGACTGTTATTTTATACAACCTACATAAACTTCCAGATTCCCATATATGGAAAATAACATGCAAAGCCCCCCCCCCCTCCCAATGTCCCAGCCTTTCAGGAGTAATTATTACGGGAATGAGTATCCTTCGTGTCTCTACATTTGCTTGGGGCCCAAAACTCGCAACTTCATTTCAGTTTGCTTTCTCCCAGTTGAAGTTAAAATGAAGCGAACTTCCAGCTGTGGATTTTTCCCTCAGCTTTCTCAACTCGTGTTATCCTTCAGGACTTCCTAAAATATTAGCATCAATAATTTTCCATCTACGTTAAGAATAACAAAATACCTTCGCGTCAACTGCACAGTTTTTCTCTAACCTTTCACAAATGCACAGACTGGAACGCCTTAATTTGCACCAAATTTAAGGACACTGGCTCCAGCCAGGATTCAAGAGCCTCTGAGACCCACCGCGACTCACCTCTGAACAGCAGCTGGCTTTTCAGCACCTAGGACAGCACCGAGGCACTACCAACCTCTCAGCTATAGTGTGGAAGCCTTTTTCAGCACCTCAGGTGATGCTCTTAAGTACATAAACCCAAGACAGCGAGCATTCTCCTCCCATCCTCTTTCACAAAAAGCATCCAACATTAAAAGAGGAATATCCGAAATCAATCTGCCCTACCCATGCCTGAAACCCCCCTCCCTTACAAGAACAAAGCCAATACTCACCATGCCTGATACCCGCAACGGATGGAACGGGTAGAGAGTGAAACCAGCTATAGACAAGACTGGGTTTGGACCCAGCGAGAGAATCGCTTGCTATATCTCCTTGGGAAAGGCCGGGTTTGCGTCAGTGCAAAGCAAGGTGCCCTTCGTTTGACATTTTCTTGATAATACAAGTTTGATAAATCATTACCCCCTTGGATGCGAGTTTTAAAGGGACAACAGCCGAGAGTACGCTGGCCAGTTGTCACCAGGGCGGGAGGGGGCTGCGTGTTCAGCGTGACTCATGTGGGGCTGATTACTAAACCGAAGCCGGTGGGAGGAGATGACAGAAGTTTGCCTCCTCCTAATTAAGGGAAACATGGGAGGGACACGTCCCACTGCACCCAAGGCGAGGCGCAGCCGCCGACAGAGCGGATTGGGCTGCTCAGGATGGGCACCCGAGAAGGAGTTAAATCATTGTCACGTTTTGGTCTCTCTCTCTCCCACTAGATCCAGTCGCTGCCTCTCTAAACCTGCGGGCAGCAGATTCTGGAAGATTATCCCCAAAGCGACAGAGGGTCTGCATACAGAACCACAGCTCTGCATAGGGTCCAGAATGATAAGGGAGGGAGGGGGACCACCCTTCAAAGTCTCAGGGCCCAATCTCCCCATACAATCAGAATGGAAGGGGCCCTAGTATTCGTTTTAAAATTGCAGACTAGTCTGAGCATTCCTATTTTCTCTCTATTGTCACAATGCAGAAAAATTCAGAGTAAAAATGTCTGACTGTCCTCCTTGTGTGGATTACACCAGCCCTGCTGCAATTATCTTAAAGAACATCCCCCCCCCCACTCAAGAGCAAACTATTTTCCATACTAGCTTGTTTCTTAGGTCACCTTCAGAGTCATATTTACATGAACTCCAAATCAGGGTGGGCAGTCGCAGGGCTCCAGGGCTGAGCTCGCTGCCCGGAAGGCGCAGAGGGAGTTCTGGAATTCCCAGGTGGGGTGGGAAGGGTCGCGGGTTAGGAAAGAGGGGCTGTCCCGTTGGTACAGAGCAAAGGCGCTGGACAAAAGAAAAGTGGAAAACACCTTTGCAAGAAATTGTAGCAAAAATCCCCCAAAACTCCCCCCCCCTTTTTTTTCTCGTTCAGGCCGGCCTGGTTAGGGAGACGCCTGGCCTGAGGGCAGGGGAGCCACAGCACATTTGGTTCAGCACCGTGCAGCCCCGCAGCCCGGCCCACCGCCTCGGGTTGGCGCCGTCGCAGTGGACTGGACCGTCCCCACGCTGCGGGAGGACAATGCCGCGGCCGCCGCAGGCAGGCCGAGGCTGCTGCGACAGATTGCGGTGGGCGCCCGGGGCACTGCGGAGGCCCCTCCCTCCGCGTCGCGAGCGAGCTCGGATGCCTCTGCACCGGGGCCCGCTTGCCTGGCCCGTCGGAAGGCAGCAGGCTGCGAATCTAAGGTCAACCCTCTTGACTTCCCGAAACCAGCCTCCCTGCCAGCGACCCCTGCGAGGTTCAGGCCGCTTTCTCACTGCACTTTTTGACTCTCCAAATTGTGGCTCTCAATTTGGAATCATCTGCAAGAACTTTCCATGAACGGTCCCACTTTAATTTCTTTTGGAAAACTGCCTCAATTTTAAAATTGGAGAAGTTGAGGTTCGCAGAAGCGCTTTGGCACCCGAGGGACTCTCCTAAAGGCCCTTCGTGCCTAACACGGGCCCGGGGTGGGGGGGAGGGCGGGAAGCAGTCGCCTCGGCAGGCAACTTGCTCCAAGGGAAACCAGGCGAGATGGGGGAGGAGAAGTTTGGAGGGAGACCCGGGGAGGGTCGTGGGGAGTGAATCCGCAGGGGAGGGGGCGCAGTGGTGGGGTGTCTGTCTAGTGTTTCTCCCTGTAACGACCCTCCGTTTCCCAGAAGTCGAGCCAGGATCGCCAGTACTGAAAAGGGCCGGCGTGGCCGCCCTGGACTTCTGCGCCTGGCCCAGCCCCGGGTAGGCCCCCCTCTCCCTCTCTGCGGGCCCGGGGCAGACTTCCAAGAGCGAGTCACGACTTCTTCCCAAGGCTCCGAGCCACTGCAGCGATTTGCATGCGAGCCTCCCCCACCGAGGACAGCGGGCGGGCCAGGGAGCGGATCGTGAGTCCGGGCGCACCGACGTTCCGGGGCGCACAGAGGTGCCACGCCGGGCCGCGGGCCGGGAGAGCGGCGCAAGAGGCGGCGGGCGTGCCGCTGGCCACATAGGTGCCCCGAACTCGAGGGACGGCCCGTTGAGGCCCCCGCCCTCCTCTCTGGCCTGACGTTTCCATTTGGGGCCAGGCAGGGCCAAGTGCGTCCTTAGGGGCCAGGCGCGCGTCGGGGCTGGGAGAGGTGGTGACGCGCCCGGAGAGCTGCAGGGGGGTGTGGAGAGGACGCAGGAGCCGCTGATTTGGCTCCTCTCGCGTCCAGCCGCAGGATTCTAGAAAGGAGGGGCTGCGGGAAGAGCACGGGGAGGGTCTGAAGCTGGAGGCCCCGGGGGCATCGTGCAACACGACGCGGGGGCGGGGTGGCGGGCACCCGCCCGCCGGAGCGTTGCGGGACGCGGGCTGGGAGTGAGCGTGCGCTGGGCCGCGGCCAGCCTGACCCTAGGGCAGATCTTCGTGCGTCAGGGCGTGTGTCATCGCGGCAGGCGCCGAGGGCCGGGTCTCGGTATTCGAGGAGGAAAAAAAAAAAAGCCAATGAAAGGTTTCCAGCAAAGCCTCCTCGCGGCCCCCGCCCGCGACCGCCTGCTCGCAGTGATAATCCGAGTTCGCGCGCCGCCGACGAGGCCGTAAATCCGCATCCATCACGGCACAGCCCATTCGGTCGGAATTAGCCAGTCACTGCGGCCTTAATTACTTTGTCAAAGATGAAAAATAGTAATTGATTTTTGCCCTCGATCATTTTATGGCCCCCTCCCTCCGTGCAGATAAGCAAACAAATAGCTTTGTTTGAAAGCCGGTGTGCATCGACAGTGGGGATGGAAGGGGGTGTCCGATCTGATTCCAGGAGGGGCAGAGCTGGACAGAGGTCGGAGAGGGTCTGCGGTAAGGTTTGTCCCCTCGCAAGGAAGGGTGCGAGCTCAACCGCCCCACTCCCTACCCCCGCCCCGCCAAGAGCCGCCTGCTCTGTGTGTGCCAGCGGCCTCCTCTCTTACTGAGGGCAGCGGTAAGAAACAATTACTGCCCATTTGACATCTTGGCGGTAAAAACTTGCCTGAGACCAGCAGGCAGAGCCCAGTGGGGTTCGGGTCAGGGTTGCCTCGGCTCTGCTTCACCGCGGCATATATGAACGCCCGTGTCTGTGATCGGGTGATTGATGGGGGAGCCGCTTCCCCAGACACCTCAAACTTCTAAAGATAATGGATGCCAGGGCCCAGAAGGCTTCCGCTGACATTGCCAAGGCAGCCAGGACGCGTGCGGTATTTTTCTCCCGCGGGCTTCCAACTGCCTGGCTCGGCTGCGGTGTTGTTCTGGGCTGAGAACAAACGTCGGCTCTGCAAATGCTGCCTCCTAGCTCTGTGACCTTGGGGCGAAATTCTTGCTTTGCATGAGAGGATAAAAAGAATAGTTAGTTACTTCAAGGA